TCCCAGAAGTGCCCAAATGTTGCATTTAAGCATCTAAAGTGGCAGTTAGGTGCCTAAATCCCTTTGCAGATTAAGCCCCGTGTGGTTCAGGGCTTAGAACGGGGGAACTTGGGAGTCAGAATTTCTAGGTTCCATTACTTGTATTGCTACAGGGCCATGGACCAAGACACCCCTGGGTAAACACACGCCTGGTCCATTGAGTTTACAGTCTAAGCAGGAGACACTAGATGGCAACGCAGAGGCAGGAGAGCTCGTGGGAACATTACAGGTCAGCACGAGAGGCGAGGGCGATCAGCACACCTGCAGCTTACCCGTCGCCGAGCACGATAAAGGAGAGTTGTAAGGCGGGAATCGGAGGACAAAGAGCTTTGCGGATACTGGCAGGGAGTTCTCCCAAGCACACAGGTGGTGGTTTGAAAATGTAACAAGTGATGGAGGCGAGAAGCTGACATTTTGACAGCGAGGCTCCTCTTAGTTCATGCACCTGCCCTGTTTTACCCAGGTTGCCAGTTCAGCAAAGCACTTAAAATGTCTGCTTTGCAGAATCAGGCCTTCGGTGTCTCCGTTTTCCCACTTGTAAAATGGGCTTTAGACTCGCATGCGGTTTTGCGAGGTTTGACGTGCTGAAAATAGCTGGTATTTTGACAATTCTAAAATGCAAAGATGCATCTAGAGCAAGGGAAATGGGTCTCCTTTGTAATCAACATCAATACATCTGTAGAAGCTAAATACATTCTAGCTGCGTGGCTTTCCAAATCTTTGATGGCACTTACAAAAAAGCAGAGACTTCTCAGCTCCAGAGAAGGTGTTTATTTGGATGCTGCAGCTGGGATTGCAGGTATGATACAATATTACAGTCATTTAGTATTGTACAGCAAAATTAAAAACTTTACAGTTCATTTAGAAGTATCTTTGGATTTTAGCTCATTTAAAGTATATTGATCAACACTGATCCGTGGTCTCAATAGCCACTCGTTATATACAAACACTGCATTTACAAAAATCAACAGAAAGACACATTTCCAAAGGCTCTCCCAAGACATTTCCAATGTTAGTGTTGGTAACAAAGCAAAAGGTACTCTGACTAACAAGCCATATCCTAGTTTGCATTAGTCAGCTACTGGCATGTGTCCTGGGTGTGCTTGGACAGGGCTGAAACGGTTGTGACACAGAATGCCTTCAGCCAGCTTTGAAATCCAGCAGTAGCCCACCAATCCATAAACTAACAGTTATTGCTGAGCATATGGTGCCTGGATTAACTCCTTACAAATCATCAGCAGAAAGGGGTGTCATACAATTATTCTATTACAAAACCAAGCAAAAAAGCCTCCCTCCGCAATCAAAAGAGTAGAACAGAACAGTCGGCTGCATATTTAAAGCTTGTTTCTAAGTTTCTCCTAGTCACGGGTAGCCCACTCCATCCTGGCCTTTTCAGCACTTCCATTCACTTCACTAGAAGAGCTAGATTTGCACTGTTGAAAGAGTTACCAATGGAGGCTTAAACCAGAATAGGATGGGCCCTAAGAGCAACTTTAGCCATAAGGCTTGTCTACATTGTGCTGGGGCCGCTGCAGCAATTGATCCACCAGCAGTTGATTGATCATGTCTGCTTAGACACAATAAATTGATCTCCGAGCACGCTCCCATCAACGTTTGTACTCCACCGAGACGAAACGAGTTATCAGTGTTGATGGGAGAGCAGACCCCGCAGACCGTACCGCTCTCAAGACCCTATGGTATGTCAACTTCAGCAACACTATTTGTGTAGCTGAAGTAAATCAATGGTGCTGGGGAGTGTAGACAAGCCTTAGTGCAGATGCAGTTACTCTGCCACTCATGCTGGGATTGCTTGTTTTGCTCACGGAGGAGCTGGAGTAAGCTATCTAGGCAGACATGCAGTTCTGCCGGTGTGAGCTGTGCCCATATTCTGCAAGATACGTATCCGTAGTCAGGCCAGGGATTCCTAGAAGAGACACAGTCTTAGAGATGAGGTCTCAGTCAGGCATCAGTCTACGCTCTGAGGTCAGAAACCCACCTGGCACTCAGTGTTGGATAAGCCAGCTTCAGACTAAAAAAAATAATAATCAAAACTTCTCATGGTATTGTGGTCTGAACCAATCACAGCTGCTAAAATCTGACTCTACAAGGGAGAAATTAAGAGTGGGTAGCTGCTATTTCAGAGTCACTCCCAAAGCACAGGAGGAAGCTCTGTGTGTCACTGACTTCAAGCAGCTTGTGTTTAGTCAACCATTAATGATATCTGAGGTTTTCTTTGGTGGGTTGTGTGTGTGAGAGCAAGATGGATATCAGCCCCAAATGCATGTAGTGGGGAGAGGAAGTTTAGAGACCAAAGATGAATCAGGAAAACCAGACTGGGGCAAGACGCTTGTGATCACAGCTGATCAAGCAGTTTGCATCCTACAGCGTGAGTCACCTACACATTTACTCTCAAGTGACATTTTAAATGACAGAAAAGCTCCACACAAATGCTTCTGCCCAGTATAAGACTAGCCCTCTCCCGCATGGGATTGGGTAAAGACTGAGCCAAGGATAAGGCACTGTTTAAATACATATTTTGTGCAAAGAACTAACAGTACCAGGGTTATGGCAATGCAAGGTCCGACTGGAAGTTTTCCCCAGCTCCCAATGAAACCATCACAAAAAAGTTATTGCATATACACTTGCATCTCTGATATGTAGTAACCCAGGCTGGACTCTTGATTCACACACAACACAAAAGAAAAAGGCGTTGAACCTTTTCAAGTCAGCGGCTGAGAGCATCGGTTCCTGATGAGCAGCAGGTATAGAATGGGACACTGCCCAGTTCTATCAGCTCTTATAAGGATGTTGTGGCTTTACTATTGTACACCATTGTCTTCGTTCACTTTCCCACTAAGAGGAACCAAGGCGCTCAAGAATCCAAGGGTAGTATTTCAACGAGGATAAAGTCAGGACACTAGGGGACAGCTAAGCACAGATATTTTCTACACACGCACAAAAGACAGCACAAAGGCCTAGCTTTGTTTTAAAAAAATACACAAGGATTCTTATGGCTGATCTAGCACAAACTAACACATTTCAATTGCATAAAACATTGTACCATGTCAAATACAAGGATTAATCTAGTGGTTACCACACATTTAGACCATTACACTCTATTCTCTTTGAAACCGTATATACGCTTTACCATTACTAGAAGCCCAAAATCATTCAAAACAGACTTACTGGATTTAAAAAGAAAACAAACACCAAGCAGATACATTACAGCCCGTATTTGCTACAGATGTTTAATGCAGGAGCCATACTTTTTGCGCTGTGTAAAGTGCATGAAAATCTTGCAAGAAATGTGCATACAAGTATTAATGCAACCAACCTCAAACACTGAACTGTTCCAGCACAATTTAGTAATTTTTTTATTGCTTTTGTGAATTGTTTAGGCTACACTTGGCCAATGTGAGGATATAGTAAATGACCTAAAATGCCGTTGAGAAAAAAAGAACTGTATTCGCTGTAACGAGATGTAGGAACCAGCTTTAGGACAGTCGACTTGAGAAATGGCAACAGGCAGAGGGGTAATGGATTAGAACTCTGGGGAACAGGCACTGGAGTGGAACTGAAAAATTCAAACTTCAGTGCGGGTTAAGATACATAGCTACAGAGCGATAGAACTGTCTATATACATAAATCTCTACAGGTGGAATCTCGGCTCCATTGAAGTCAACAGATTTTTACTATGGACTTCAATAGAGTCAGGATTTCATACCAACCATCTGAAGTCTGAGAATTTTGTCACTAAAAACACAGCTTCCTTGTTCAGGATGGACGGCTGAGGAGAGCTCCCTGTGCCTTCCTAGATGGCATAAGCCCTTGTGCAAAGTAGGCGGAATATCTGCTAGCAACAGAGAGGCGTAAAGGACTCAGTTCCAGCACAATTTCCCTATCAGCCAAATTATGCTAGCGTAAAACCTGCCTGAGATTCTGTAGCTTCAGGGGGTAGTCGAGTTAGTCTGTACAGGAAAAAAACAACAAATGGTCTGGTAGCACTTTATAGACTAACAAAACATGTAGACTTTATATACATGTAGCACTTTATAGACTAACGCAAATCATGAGTTTTTGTGGGCACAGCCCACTTCTTCGGCTGACCGGAGTTTTGAGTTTAGGATGTGCAGACCCAAAATAAAATAGGAGAGAAAGGGGGGTGGGGAGGAAAAGAAGGAGGGAAGTGGGAGACAGGGAGCAGAGGGTATGGAAAATCAAAGGGAAAAACAGGAAGGCAGAGCTGGGAATCAGTAAGCACTTGAAGATTGGGTAATTAAAATGAAGCAGATGTGAATCAACGTCAATAGATAGTACTCTTCCTAACACAATCTACACAAAGAGCTCTTTGCACCTTCATTGAAGTGCAATGAAGGTGCAAACAGTGAATTCATCACTGGAGCCAACAACATAAGCTAACAAATCAAAAGGTCATTTGACTGCACATCCAGTAATTTGATCTATGCCATCAAATGCCAGCAATGCCCCACTGTTAAATATACTGGACAGTCTCAACGGGAAAGAATCAATGGACACAAATCAGATATACATAAAGGGAACATACAGAAACCTGTTGGGGAACACTTTAATCTTCCTAATCATTGTTTAAAAGATCGTCAAGTGGCTGTCTTGTCACAAACCAATTCTACTAGCCAAATACACAGAGAGGAGTTGGAATTACAATTCGTCCGCAAATTCAATTCTCACGCTAATGGACTCAATCGTGATGAGGGATGGTTGGGACACGATCAACCTAACAGTCAATGAAGGTGCAAACAGCTCTTTGTGTACATTCCTGTGTTAGGAAGAGTCTATTGACTTTGATTCTCGTCTGCTTTGTTTTAATTACCCAATCTTCAGGTGCTTAGGAAGGCAGAGCTGGGAATCACTATTTTTCCCTTTGATTTTCCATACCCTCTGCTCCCTGTCTCCCACTTCCCTCCTTGTTTTCCTCCCCCCTTCCTATTTATTTTGGGTCTGCACATCCTAAACTCAAAACTCCGGTCATCTGAAGAAGTGGGCTGTGCCCACGAAAGCTCATGATAACAGCTACATGTTTTGTTAGTCTACTAGACCTTTTGTTGAGATTCTGTGGTATGTTTTACAACACAAATAGGGAAAACACCCTGTTCATAGAAGTTAGGGTATCCAGGCCAATGTTCCAGTGAGTGGCAATACCTACCCTAGCCCCTCAATCTCCAAACACTTCAGTGGGTGAGTCACAAGCTGCAGAAGTGTTTCCACAATCAGGATCTCAACGTGAACATGGCCAAAAAGGAACACATACTAGATCAAATAAATACATACCTATCCAGCTCCCCTTTGCTTGGTCCCCAAATGCTAGTAAAAGCATTGGATCAAATCTACAAAGATCAGTTATTCAACAAAGACAGCCCATGTCAGTTAACACATGATCATGCTAGAGAGAAAGGGAGGGGAGCATGAGGACTAATAGAAAACATGGCTCTACTGTTCACAACATGGGATGCTCCAAATCAGAAACCAATAAAAAGCGCAAGTTAGGATATTCTCCAATTCAATACGTGAAATGATGAGACGATTAAAAGCTAAGTCGAGAGGATGCTTCACATTAGCCAGCCATCTGGATCCGTATTAGAAGAACAGAAGTAAAGCTTGTTTGGGGAAAAAAAAGGATGTTGGAGAACTTTTATAATGCCAGGAAGTCTTAGGAGAAGTTACACTGGTGAGTGTATAGTATCTCATTGCAGAGTATCATAAAACTGCTTAATAAAATAAATTCTGTTGTTGTTGCAGGTAGCATATTTATGAAAAAACAGTTTCTTCCCAGAATTCAATTCAGGATTATGCTTCCCCAGCCTTTGTTGCTAATTTCTCCATATTTTCCAGCTTGAAAGAAGAGAAATACAAGCGTTCCAACACCAGTCTAGTGGATGGCAAATCTCTCTCCTCTAGCCTGTACTGCAGGTCTGGACAGGGGAAGAGGAGGAAATATGTTCATTTATGAAAATATTAAAAAGCTGCTTGTACACTTCAATTGTTTTATGAAGGCTTAGAAAACAGCAGCTCTCTATAAGGCTGATAGGAATGCACTAATGCTTGGCAGACTGTAGAATGCTGTATTCCAACCCATTCCAAATTTTATTCCAACTACTGATTAGTTTCTATTTTAATTTTTATTCCTTCTGCATAAATTGATATTAATCACAGTCAATCAGCATAATTATCTCCTTCACTAAGCGTCCCTACCTCCTTTAAAGTTTACTTTGATGATAATGTAGCTTTCCCTTGGATACCTGAACCAGATGGTTAAGGCACTTAGACACATCTGTGCAGCATGGACAGAGGCTGGCTACATATTAAGTTGTAACCATTAATTTAGCATCCTGTATGTTCTTCACATAGATCATAAACATCCACTGCTCAAAATTCAGTGCCTCAATGTTTACTAAACAAGGTATAAGAAAGCTCAGTATATACTGTACAATGAACTCTGATTTTTTCTTTACATTATTCGTTAGAAAATATCTATATATGCCACAGGAAATTAAAAACTAGTCAAAGTCACCAAAAATAAAATCAAGTTTAAAAACAGCAAAAACCAGCCCAGCTCTCCCCCTCTCCCAAAAACATTAGTTTTGAGGAACAACGTGCAACAGTTCCAATAAAGTGATTTTAGGAGCAATCTCAGGAGGGATTTGCTGGCGAGGCAGGAGCTCTTCCCAATGGGAGGCTATTCAGTAAGGCGCTACATAGAGTGTCGCTGTGCAATGCAGGCAGTGGGCGATTGTGAAGCGCAAGCATTTTGTATTTTTTTAAAACAATAAATAAAAATAAATACGACCGGATCATTCTGTATGGGAACAACAAGCCTTCACGTTACGAAATTGGGTAAAAGACAAGCGCCAGTGAAGGCTACACATGGTACTCAGGTCTCTCTTTGTGAGTGTGTCACTCACAGGCAGCACAGACAGAGCTGGAAAAAGCTGTTATAAGAAATACTAGAGCACTTTAGTGATATCTTATAAAAAATCCTGAAGACAAACTGAAGATACACTGGGAGCAATATTCCACAGCGTCTCCAGGGCACAGATGACAGGAGAACGGATTCTGTCCCCTGTTAAAATAATCCACTAAATAGATCACACAGTAGTGATTTACTAAATTTGGATATGCTCTTAAAAACAGGGATCAAAAGCCCCAATAGGATAGAATCCCAGTGATTGCAAGAAGAGTAGGAAGACACTAGAACATTATTCAGCATAGGCACTGGTTTCAGGTCATGTAACCAAGCTAATTATTTTTGTTCTGCTTCCGTCTCAACCTTAAGACTGTATCCGTTTCTCACTACTGTCCAATACACACACAGCTCTTCCAAAAGGATGGAGCCGTGCGTGCTGCATTGTGTTGTTTACAGAACTGCCAACCACATTCAAGTGGTACAGATGTCATCGGTTGGGAAATTGCTCCAGTTAATCTTTTGCAGCTGCTGGAAACTCACACACTACTTTGAATAACTTCTCTAGCCCCTCATTCCGTGAACGACTTAAAAGCAGCACCGTTAAACCCCTCCCAAAACGGTCATTATTTGAAATAAACCACACGAAGTGTCCCAATAAGACAGGAGCCTACCCCATATAGACCCATCACCATGACAAGGCAAAGATTTAACATATCAGCAACAAAAGCAGAGCAAACCGCCTCCTTTAGTGTTTGCCAGAACTCCAAGTTTAGTAGGTTGGTTCAACGTTGCAAGCACAGCGATAGCTTCACAAGTTACTTTCAAACCAGGCTGTGGGGTGCGTACACCTCCTTCAGTTGGCCCAAGATTTCCTGTTCTCGGCACTCTTCTGGATCTTCTCAGGCCGGAGAGCAGACCCTTCCATTTTGGCTAGGGCTGTCAGTGAGGCCAGGTGGGAGGCTGGGTTGCAACTTAAGTCCCGTGCTCCGTCGTCTGGCTACGCCTGGGGCTTTCTTCACCCGGTTTGGTTTCACCAGGAGCCCATAGCCTGGGTTGCATTTGAAGTACTGCCTTCCCCCAATGGAGCCATCGTTCTTACCTGGAAGAAGAAAAAGATGCTACAAAAGGAATTTCGCCCTTGTGTGTATAGTTACTTAGGACCAGCGCTTCCTGTATCCTGAGTGCTTGGGCAGCTGCCCAGGAGAGATTTAATATTAGGATTTGCAGGCGAAGGTGAGGATTAGCACTGGAAACGATTCATCAGGACACAATTAAATGGTTGAGACAAAGGGGCTACATGGTCAGAGCAGAGACAGCCTACACTGGCAGGGGCACTTTGGGCAGATACATGTTAGTTAAGGACAAACTCCCAGTAATCGCAGGAAGACTTTTTTTTTGGGAGTGGGGGGGATGGGGGAGGAGAGAAGACTACAGGCAGTCCCTGAGTTACGCGGATCCGACTTATGTTACAAACAAGGCTTTTCTCGCCCCAGAGGACGGGAGCGGCAGGACGCCCAGATGTGCCGCGGTCTGCCACCCCTGTCCTCCGGGGCGAGAAAAGCTGCTTCCCGTCTCCCTGCTCTGCAGGGAGACAGGGAGCAAAGTCTTGGAGCATGCCCGCAGCGGGACAGCCCGGGCGCGCTTAAGCTGTCCCCCTGCGGGCGTGCTCCGCGGCTTTGCTCCCCGTCTCCCGACCAGCATACCAGGGAGATGGGGAGCAAAGCCTCGGAGCACGCCCGCAGTGGGACAGCCGCGGCGCGCCCGGGCTGTCCTGCTGCGGGCGTGCTCCGC